ACGTCAGGCCAGTGTTCAAATCTGGATACGTTTTTATCAGATCCGTTGCAGCCCCTTTTTTAGAGATTTGGGTATGGAGGAAAATAGAGAGGGTTGTGTTTTCTGACACTTGGTGAGTTCCCTGGAACACCGGGGACACATATTCATGTATAAAAGACGTACAAAAGTGCATTTTGCATGATAGGTCCCCTTTAAGTAAAATGTAAGGTAAACATTTGTACTCATGAACAGAGGCTTTTGCAAGACTTTCATACCAGAGCAAGACAGAATAATAATGGGAATATGGGAACATTAGAATGTAATACATTTATGTCAGTATTCAAAGTAGGGACATAAATAATACAGAATCCTCTGCAAAGCTATGTTAAGACTTCCGGTTGTATGGGCAATTTTTCATGTGTAAACTGAAGGATTATTTGTATTCATTTATATATATGTATATATATAGCTCTGGAACAGATTTTTATTCTGAAGCAAGAATGATAAGCTCTGACAGTTACACTGACTGTGGGCAGATAAACCAAGAATAACATAAAGGAAGAAAGAACATGGAAGAATGGCATAAGCTTAAACATGATCCTTTAGCTTATCCATGATGTAGCCAGAAGCCTTTGCACGCCCAGATGAACTTCCATGCACATTTTCTCCTGCCCCAGTGTCTTGACAAGAACACAATGCTGTCCTTTAAGAAAGGCACAGTTCGTGCATTTTACCATGGAACAATCCCAACGCATGAACCGTGCAGCCCTCCAAAAGAAAATGTCTCTTATGAGATGGAAATGCATTAGGCTGACAGGACGAGCAGAAGCTAATGTGAGTGTAGCCGCTGGGCAGGATGCTGCTTGTCTACCAGCGTTTCAGTGCGACCTGGGTCATTTTATTGAGTTCTGTCGCTGGTAAAAAAAAAAAAAGCACGATGCCTGTCAAAGAAAGCAAATAAAGACTTATTTTCTTTTTTTTCAGAGCTGGCACTTCTGGACTCTTGACACACTCTTGTCATTAAAAGCATTCCTCTGAAGACCAAACATCAAGTCGGAAGATTGTCAATAATTTGAGCTGCTGACAAAAAAAAACCTGACAGTTGGGGGAAAGCGTGAAATGATTGATAGTCTGACTGTAGTTGTTGACAAGTTATGGTGATATGACAATCAGAACGAACATGTTTATATCTAAATGAAAACTAAGGCATGGTTTCTAATAACCAGCACTTTATAATTGGTATGTCCACCTCTATCTCTCTATATTTTGCTTTCAAACTAATCAGCCTAATATATTGCTGTCAGCATCAGGATCATTTAGAACAAGGCAACGTACAAAAATGCAGTAATTGAAAGCTATCAAAAGGTTATGTACTAGATAAGATTACTGTTTGCAATATAACATGTATTAAAACTGCAAAATGTTTTTGTTCATCTTTTTCCCCTACATGCTATATATTCATTATGAAACATCTACAAATAAATGATGATTCATCATGAAATCTTGAAGTACAGCGTATTTCCTGTATTTTGCAAACACCCTTTGACAACATCCAAAAAAATGAAGGAAATGAAAAACCCTAAAAGCAGCTTAATTCCTTTACCAAATCTTTTCCTACTTTTCTTGACCGAACACAGCAGTCTGTTGTCCCTTATAAGGCCTGTTCTATCATCTATTCACCAGATTATAAAGGATAAACCTACAGTAGTGATATTACAGTTATAATCCTTTGAAAGGCAACCAAATGACATCACCATAATAGTATCAATATCACTGAGATTAGCCCCCTCATAAGCAGTATTAGTAGGAATAGAATATCTCTTCATAGCAAGCCAGGAAGATGGTAGTTGGATTTTCTGTAACGTGACATTTACTGGCTGAAGGAGTCCCAGTGACAACCTCAGGGATATTTAACCCTTGCTTTCTTTAGGTTGCACTTAGCAGAAAGTTGACAAGGTTAGACTCATTTCAGCTGCACTTGTGATTTCTTACATCTTTACTGGTTAAGAAAGCTTCCTTCTCTTAGCCCCGAGTCCCCACTAATTTCCCTCTTTGATGCATTTTTTTCCATCCTGCTTCAATTCATTTGAGCTTACCATCATATATGAATGTTTAACCCAGGGAATTGTGGGGTTTCCTTCCTATTTGTTTCTGGATGGTGTCCATCGAAGCAGATGCTGCTGGCTGCTCCTGGAGCTTGAGGCCTCCCTCTCTGTTTTACTGCTGGGTGTCCCACAGCAGTCAGGCTGTCCAGATTTAAGCTGCTGTACAGCAAAATAGGGCGATAAGCCAAGCGTAAATGAAGACGATCCTACCATCTAATTACAGTATAACCTATTTGGCCTTTGGAGAAATATGCTGAAAAAATGTCTTTACAGTTTGCCTGATTATACTGCTGCTGCTGGAGCTTCAAGCCTCAAAGCAATTAAGGTCCGTGTTGTGAAAGGTTATTTTGAAGTACAGCATGTTTTCACCTACAACATACCCCACCTTCTTCACCTCCTTTCCTGTGTATTCCCACTTTGTGTGTTTGTTAAAAAACGACTTTTTGCATTTGTGCGCCTGTGTAGTTACAAGTTTTCGTCTGAAGTCTGAAGAGGGATCTGCTAATTAGGACGGTTCGTATCATGCTGAAACATTTCTCATCCGCTGACAATGGAAAAACACACACACACACACACACACACACACACACACACACACACACACACACACACACACACACACACACTGCATGCTTGAAAACAGCCTTTCCTCCCTGTGGGGTGTAAGCTGCCTCCCCTGTGCCTCTAGTGCAACTGAAAAGACAGGCGGGAAGAGAAGAGATTAAATGTGAGAGGTGCGATTTCTTACACCTTTATAGAAACAAACGGTCGATCCATACCAAACACATGTCCACACACTCCTAGCATTAGATGTTAAACACCTGCAGGTTTCACAAACAAACGGCAGGAAAAAAATGCCTCAACATTTGATTTATTTTCATGCATTAAATAAGTCACCTTGCTGCTTGAGACGTCATCACGCCCAACAGGAAGTGACATTAAAAGGAATCAAGATGGCCCATGCAGGGTTGTTGTTCTACATCATTCATTATTAATTCATTGTTGTATTGATTGTGTATTCATCTGAAGGGACAGCAGAGGAGAGCTGATGTCGGAGGCAGCTATATTATGCCCTCCTCTACTGTTTCTTATCTGGACGTGTGCTGAAGTACAGGGAGGATGCAGGATGAGCCGCCTCCCACTTTGATATGAGCCTCTGAAAGACGGCTGTTAAGAGACAAACTGAGACACAATTATGAAGAAAGCTTACTGACTGAATAAGCACACAATTGTAAGCAAAATCAATTATGACTATTGTAATAGCATACACTGAGATAATCCTAGCAAGGTGTTTAAGGCATTTGGTTAATGATGTGGAAACACGACTGCCTGGCAATCTACGATAAATATTCTCTTATAAATTGCCAAAAAGCACAGCATGTTTGTTGTTGAATTTTGCTTAAATGTGTCAAACGTGATTTATCTGGCAGATAGAAATGGACCTTTCTAAAAATAGCTTTTGCGTAATGTTGACATTTCTGGAAATCTTTGCCAGTTAGAGCTTTCTTTTTTAAGAAATAGTACACTTCCGGAGCTACATTTGGGGAGATACTTTGCATTTTGTTGAGAATTAGATGAGAAAATCTTAACCCATCTCATTTCTTTGCACTAGAGATGAAGCAATAACTAGCAGCTTAGTGAGCTTATTTTAGCATAAGGAATGGAAAATGTCCAATGTATTAAATTAAATATTTGCATTGGTCCTAATTATATAGAATACATGTTCTACAAGCAACTCACATAATCTATGAGCATCCGTAATTTACAGTAAGGTTACTATACTAGGAGTGTTGATTAAGCACAGCGGGGTGTTTCTTTCAGTGCTGCAGGACAGAACACTCTCCAAGGACTTAAAACAATACCAAACGCCCACGCATGTCACACCTTCGATCTAATGGAGGCCATGAAAGGGGAAACATTTACAAAACGGATGGGAAGCTTCAACACCAGGAATTTGGCTTTACAGATAAATTGGAGTTCAGACCAATGTCCATTAGTTTAGTGTACCTTCCTATCAAACTGTTTCAGTATCTGACACTGAGTGTGTGAAGCTGCCCTGAGAGGCTTTACAGTGGGATAACACCAGGTGATAGCCTATTACAGTTTTAATCACTGCAGGTTTTGACTTTGCAATCCATGCCTGCCTGTGAGCAACTCAAGTGTATCAATTAAAGATTCATCGTAGGCTATACACACACACCTAGTGATCTGGATTACATATTTATTATGAAGATGTTGGTCAATGGAGCCTTTACACTTAATTATTCCAGTGTATATCAGGGCTGGTGGCATAAACGTGGCACATTTTCCGAGCAGGCTGCAGCAGGGGTGGCTTCAATACATGGATTGTACAAAACAGCCAAATATTTCAACATGTATTCATCTGCAAATGCCAGTTGATGTGCTTTCTCTCATCTCAGAAAGGTTCTGACTCATCTAGATTTACAGAAAAGGGCACAGAACATTTCCTGAGTAGTAAAGCATGCAGCCTAGTGAGTCTTTGAAAAATGAATTAGGGCCTGTAGCCAGGGGTTTCCACCACTGCTACATCCACTAACATTCAGGGTTATTTTTAGCATCCCGGCGCCTTCTCAGACTGGAGGGGAGTAGAAACCCCCCTGGTAAACAGGGGGAGGCCAGTGGGAGGCTGCGGTATGTTTGAGGAGGAAAGAGGCAGGTAAGCTTTATTTATGTTGGTTGCAGATGAAGTGGTGGTTTAACAGGCCAGAACTCACCTTTAGGTTGACATATACATCTTTCTCACACACATACACATTTAATAATTCAAGTCATTCGTGCAAGGCTTATGAACAGGGTCTTTCTAATGACAATAAGTGATGTTTTGCTGAGCTTGTTGTTTACCAGATGTTCTATTTTAACCAACATAACATGTTCAGGTTTCATCTGTGTGCCTACCTGAATTCAGGAGCCAGGTTGGGCTTCAGGCCATAGAAAGCAGCCGATAAGGTCAAAAGCCAGCGGGGAACAAAATTCCCATGTTCACACTCCAGGTAGGGCGCAGACCATTTGACATGTGCCTTGTCCGGGATAAAACTCTCTCCCCTTTTTAGAGAATTGTCCAGTGATTTAAAATCTTGACTCATCACCCTCTTGTGGAAATTGGGCTTCTTCCTGTCTTTGACACCGTGGTACCACTCTGTGTCTGCTGTGCGGTTGTGCAGATGGTGGTGTGCCATGCTGGAGAGGTCATGGAGAACTATCTCGCCACCGGACCTGGTGGCCTGGAGAAGCACCGAGGGCCCCTCCACAGACGAATCCGCGCTAAAAGTGACCACAGCCCGGTGGATCTTGGCGTCTCCCTCCAGAATACTCCTGACTAAGGCATGGTACCACTCAATGTCTCGCCGGAGACTCTGCTCCCTGGACCTGTTGGCTTGCAGAATCATGTTGAGGAAGTTTGTGGCGTGCAGCACCGTATCCAACACGCTGCTCATGGACTGATGCGGGGTTGATTCTGACCTTCCCCGCAGAGAGGTGAGCTCGTACCTCCGCGAGCAGTTGGCGTGGTTTAAGGTGGTCGAGTCCCCCGTGTGAAGAAAAGCGGTGACCACCCTGGGGAGAAGCTCCTCTAGGTTCTCCGGCGTCTCGCCCGGAGGAGGCTGAGGCGCACGGAGATGAGCCAGCTGCCGACGGTGCGTCTGAGCGCCGTAAACCGCCTCCCGTGCTCTCACATCTTCCCCATGCGCTGACCATTCCGCGTATTTATGGTTTGATCCGATCACAAATCCCACTTGCAGTAGCAACGACAGCCGGAAAACAGCCATCTCCCTCCAGGAAAAAGCTTCCACTGATGTACAGAGGATCAGAATTACAGTGGTTAGGGCGGGCGGGCTGTAAAAACAATCCAGCAAATTGCTCCGCTAAACCATCGCTTCACCACTTGTAGGATATTCTTGCGAGCTCCACGCCTCTGATCTTGAAATAAAAAAAGCAGAGGAGGGGGAAAACGCAAGGAACCCCCCTCGCTGTCTTCGCTTAAAAGCCCTTCTTCTTCTTTACAGATGCCTTATACAGCTTGTTGATGTTGAGTATCCGCTTGCAGCTGTTTCCCTCCACCTCTTCCTTTCTCTCTCTTCCTCTCTGTATCTCACTGTAGACTGTCTTGGCTTTGCTGTGCGGCGGACGCTCTCCCTCTACATAGACTGATTCAAAACGAGGAGGAAGGGAGGGGTAAAGGGGGCAGGTTATTGTTATATTTATATATTTTTATACGAGGCACCGAGTCAGGGAGCTTCTCACTTGGATGATAAACGCACTCCGCCCTCTTCCGACCACAACAGGCATTAAGTAGGCCTACCGAAGCCTCGAAGAGACACATCAGGAGCCCGTCTTCCTTCTCCTGATGATCCGCAGTTGGCTGCTTCTCCTGTCAATCACAACGCCAGCGGGGCGGGAGCTGTCCGGTGCTGAAAGAGATGAGGGCAGCGTCATCTAATTTATCTAAATGAAGCACTTCATTTAGATCAATAGATAGAGATTTTTCTCACTTTGGCATTCAAGAGTCGTTTTTTCAATTGATCAGTGTTTAAAAGCTTTATTACTTTGACTTTAATTTCTAAGAGTATGCTGTTTGATCAAAAACAAGAAAAGTAAACAATAATATTTGGGCAAAAACCTGGTAAACCAGGTTTGAGGCTCGAAAATGACATGCCCAGAACAAATGACTATATCTTCCCTTCTAAAAGGGGTAAATTAATAATATATTTTCTCAAAGCAATGATACACCTGTGAGTTGGATGTGGAAGAGTCAGAATCAATATAGATGTTTTTATTTTAAAGTAAATTCAGATTGAACATAGTAAGAAAAATGTAAATTATAGTTTCCGTCCAAAAAAAAACATTACTTATAGTGAAAACCACCCTTGAATGATGGGACTTAAAGCTTTAGGAATCCAAACTATAACATATAATATACCCTGTATCAAGATTGATGCAAAACAAGTGAAATGTGACCTTTTTAGAGAGGTTTAGAAAAAGAAAAAAAATCTTAAATCCATCTAAACATTACCATTGGTGAATGAGATTGATGCGCAGCCAGCATGCCCAAAACCGGAAGCTGGGTTACAGCTCTCATACACTCTATATGAAAACTACTCTTAGTGACATAAATGTTATGATGGATTATCAGTAATCATTTCAAAGTGACACAGAGACATTGGATTAACCTTCAGCAGCGTTTATATGCGTTTTAATGCCATTGAACACAACTTTTGATCAGAAAACAGCAAATGTAAGACATATTTTTGGCCCCGTAAAGTGAAGTTGTGTGTTGTCTTTGCTTGCCTTTGCTGCCGTTTTGGTCGCACAGTGATGATACTTATACCATTGGAATCTGTGGAATCTCAGCTTTCATATGGTATCTGGTATATTGGTACCGTGAGTTATGTGCTATGCTTAGTGCTAATTCAGACGCTCTGCGTTAGAGTTGTGTTTTGCTTCGGTAAAAATGGTTCATATCGTCAGTTAGCTGAGTTTCTTCCCGTTAAGTGGGTATGACACATTAATAGGTTGTTAAATGTTAAGAAGCCCTGATACACATTTTCGTGAATATTGTTGTGTTTTGCCCCCGGGGGCGGGGGCATGGGGTTTAACTGGTTTAAAGACACAGGAGGATTTTGCCTATGTCAATAAGTACAATATGGGTTAAATTACGCATATAACCTGAACTGAATGGCTAAAGATATCCCTGATCATATCATTAATGGGTCTGGGCACCATATATTTATTTAAGAACATTACATATTTATGATAATAAGCAACAATCAATGTCCAGAAATCATCTTTAGTTGTTATTTAACACTTAAAAACAAAGCAAATTCTCCATCAGGTTTGAATATGGTGTGGTAATATTTGATCCACAATGTCCATCTACTAATTAATACAATTCTGATTTAAATCCCGATTGGTGGATGAAAGTACGGGATATTTTTCTACATTATTGCCTATGGGATTAAGATGAGATTGTATGAAATAATCACATTTGGGTGTAATGTTTGAGCGCCCTTTTAGCCATTTAGTTTGCAAGATCAAGTTTGAAATATGTTTGTTTGGTCAAATAAAAATAAAAAGCAACTCAGCTAACTTCATAGATGTCCTTTGAAACCACCCGCCAACACTGCACCATGCAAACTATAACAAGCCAAAAACATGTGTCTTTGTAATACTCAAACATATTACTGTATATTCTTGTAATTCTTAAATAAAATTGGCAACCATATCTAAACCTATTTGTGGGAATTTAGCCCTGGATATGTTTCTAATTTAAAAAATATATCATTTCTTTTTGTCGAGGCAGGCTGTTTCTCATTCAATATTTGCCAATTACAATACCCTATAGCAGCGGTTTTCAAAGTGTGAGGCGCGCCTCCCCTGGGGGGCGCCAGAGAGCTTCAGGGGAGGCGTAGCGTGAGAAAAAAAATAACGAGAAAAGATGAGAAAAGTGACACTTGCCCACTTTTGGCTGTCTGTGGAGACCGAGTTCCCCCACTTCGCCAAAAAGGCTGTAAAAGTGCTCATTCCCTTCATCTCCACCTACCTGTGTGAGTGCGGGTTTTCCGCATGGACTTTGATCAAAATCAAGTGCAGAGTATGATCTGCGTTTATTCCTGTGTGCATCAAAGACGCAGACTCATTGTTCCCACTAAAGTAGGGATGAGTGTAATAAGGAGGCAAAATTGACGTTCAGTGTGTTGCCGGGAACATATAAGGATTTATCCACGATGTTGAAAATGTTAAAAAAAATTTAAAAATATGTGTTGAGAACACGGCGTGCGAAAATATACGGGTCGTGCTGCAGCTAGATTTGCCTGTCCTCTGTAAGAAGGTGTCGGCGACTGACATGCAAGGAAGAACGGCTGTCCACAGGCTGTTCCAACTTTAACAACTTTATTAACTTCCAGGGTAGTGAATTGAACATGCTATTGTAATTGGGTGTGTGGTATATTTTCATGCACGGACACGCATGTTCCACAACACACAAACTGAACAACACTCAATTGTCCGATCGCTACCACTGTCCTTGCGATCTTGTTATAACGATAACAACAAAGTGCACGTTATTACTGATGCAATATGGTTGAGACCATTTGGGCTTATTCTAGAGGGGTGCAAGGAATAGTCCAAGTAGTGGGGGAGTTGTATACAATATGTTTAAAACATAAAGATAAAAAGGTTTAAAAAAGTTATTGTTTAATGTTTTAAGGAGGTGACGCTACTCAGCCAATCAAATCGGTGCAGTCAGTGAGCCAGCACGATAGATTCAAACACACACACAGAGACGAGACAAGAGGAGAGAAACAGTCTTCATTTTATCTTACTGGACCTCTTTGAAATGCAATTGAATACCCCTGCATTATAGCAACAACAACAATGATAATAATAATAATAGCAATAATAATTGGGAGGGGGGGGGGCGCGGCTGTTCTTATGTTCTCTGAGGGGAGGCTCACCTTCCCACACTTTGAAAACCCCTGCCCTATAGGAAGGGTTTTTTATGAAGAAACAAAAAGGGGGGTCTGATCCATTTCTCCGCTTTGTCATCATTCTATCAGTGTCTCTATTCCGTGTTAGTTCAAGATCCAAGGTTGCTCTCTCTCTCTCTCTGTCTCTCTCTCTCTCTCTCTCTCTCTCTCTCTCTCTCTCTCTCTCTCTCTCTCTCTCTCTCTCTCTCTCTCTCTCTCTCTCTCTCTCTCTCTCTCTCTCTCTCTCTCTCTCTGTCTCTCTCTACCGGGTGTAGGGGCATGTCACTTCACGCTGTGTGGGCTAGAGGCATCTCGTCCCAGAAGGAGAGTGAGGAAGGCAGGCGTGACGGTGGGTGACAGAGCTGACAGTCAACCTGCGCGATGCTGGGGGCCACCGGGGGGCTGGAAGTTGGAACCTGAAGACCTCCTAGATTTCTTGACCCACCTACATACAGCAGCATCCAAGAGGCTGCTTGCTTGTCCCAAAAGCTCGAGAATTTCAGTAAACCGGCATGAAATAGGACAGCAGCAGTTGCTATCCTTACACCAATTTACATAAAATAGGCCTCAAATAGCTGTATACTATATATTATCATTGCAAAGTATTTCCTTTTTTTATTCTGCTTTCTTTTCTATGTCCATGTTCAAGTTAAAGAGGGAAATAGAAAAATATAGAAAATCCTAAACCATCAGTCATGGTGATGATGGCGGTGACGAAGGTGGACATAGCACCTTCTCTTGAGGTGTTAACCATCTGCATGGGTTGTTAATCTTATATGCTGCCAGTTTAAAATATGTATATGTCCTCAACACCAGTTTAAAATATGTATATGTCCTCAACACCAATTCCTTGATTTAAATGCACTTTAAAAAATGTGACAAGTAAGGTACCCTAAAGGAATATCCATTTTTTCTGATCCATATTACAGGTTTGATATGTTTATTGTGGAAGATCTGCCCTGTAATGTTGTCCCTATAAGTCCTACTGGTTGTGGGACGATGGTTACTGAAAGATCGGTGGACCAATTGCATTCACACATTATTAGGTCACATCATTGTAACATGTTGACGTTAACGCATAAATATGAGTGACATATGGCTTGTATATTATGTCATCTTGAATGCCGAATACATTTTTTATAGACAAGATTATGAATGTGTTACAAAAACAAGTTACCTGGTAAGAGGTATCGTAGTTTGATAAACAAATGAGTGATAATAAAGTGTGATTGGCTGCATGTACAGCATAGCAAAATTGAAAATGTACCATGTGTTCCTTCATTGCTAGGATGATCAGGTTTTTT